GCAAACGGAGGAAGGACGAGCTCGGATGATGGGAGATGCGCGCGTGGGGGGGGGGTTTCGGGTGTCCGTCTCGGTTGATGGTGTGCCGGAGAAAAAGTGATCTCGATTACGCGAGCCATCGATGCGCGCGACGCCATTTGATTAAAGAGCTTTTTACCACCACACTCGTCCCGAAAGCGTACAGGCTCGATTTTTTAGTAGACCGGCGCGGGGAAGGCGTTGGCAAAAGTTGCAAGGTATGTTTCTCGGAACGGACGATCCCACACACCCCCTGACGTAAAGCCTCCAACGAAAGGAGAAGAGGAAGAAAACACCCGAGAAGGAATTCCTTCGAGGTCCTAAACACACACACACACAGGCGCGTGGCTCCGAAAAATTTTGGTCAAAACAAATATTATACAACGGCTCGCGCGAGCGAAGCGCTCCGGTGGGGTGTGCCGCTGCAGGTTTCTCGCTTTTTGTTTGCTATACTCCTTCCTCTTTGGATTCAAGTTTTTCCTTGCCCATCCGCCGAGAGGACGATGACACCCGCGAAACGAGAGGCTCCGATGCGCCCCCCCCCCCCCCCGCGAGTGTCACACTGCCGGGGGTCGCATCGCCACCTCACGTGCGCGGATACATCATATACCGATTTACCGATCTCTTATTGTACACTCGGTCGGTTCGAGGGTGGGATTCGTACATGGTATGTGTAGGTGGTGCATGTCGGGGAAGAGAGAGAGAAAGGACCCCATATAAACGGCCAACTTATACTATCTCAAAGGTTACACTTTGAAGGCTCGTGTTATAAGCTTTCAGGTAAAAGCCTCTCGGGACTATGCGTACACCAAGTATATAAAATATATATACACATAGGTTGTCCCTACGTGTTGGTGTTGTTGATGCCGATGCAGCCACAAGCCAGAGAGAGAGAGAGAGACTCGTCTTTCTCTCTCTCTTATATATGTGTATATAAAATACGCTCCTCGTGTTTTTCTCTCTATCTTTTATCTCGTTTGCTCTCCCGAGGAGCAGGCGAGCGCTGAAAGAGAACCGGTTTCGTCCGTGAGGTGAACTGTAGCACTTGTACACACGTGTATGGGGCCATATATATTATACATATATGTATACAAGGGTAGTCATAGTCTGTTGTATATATATGACGGGGCTGCAGCTCCTGGTTGTACATATATTATATAGTATACGCCGTGGGTCTATATATTATATGGGCTTGGAGCTGAGAGCGATTACGATGTTTGGCGTCTCGCAGTGTATGTTTGTGCAGGTACACGAGGAGGTCTGCGGGAGAAAAGTTCAGGTATATGGAAGTGTCTCGAAATTTGAGCGATTTCTTATTTTTTTTTTTTTCTGAGTTTATTCTTTTTTTCCGGGAACTTTTTTTTATCTATTTTTCATGGCCTTGTGAGTTTTGGGAGGAAAAACGTTTTGCCGACCGATTTTTTCGTGAAACAATCTTAAATGTTTGGAAATGTACAAGTTTGATAAAAATAATAAATATTTGAAGAACAAAAATATGTTGAAAAATTGTGCCACACCTTGATTGATTTCCTGTAGCCGCACTTACACGTGTGATTTTTTTTGTTTTTTTTTTGTTTTAATTCCATAGCATTCAATATTAAAGATTTTTGATAGAGCTACTCTCATGTGCAGGTACACCCAAGCTAAAACACCTTTCCCGCCAATACCTGTATAAAATATACTTTATATCTTTGCAACCTCCCGTTCATTATAATATGCACACACGTGTGCTATGGGCGCGCGTGCATAAATTAGGCACGTGTATAATATTATGTGCAATACGGTATACTTACGCTTATACAGTGGATTAAATTATGGCGATGGAGTCAAGGTTGGTATTTGCGTGCGCGTCTACTTGCACATAAAAACACACGTGTCCATTGCTTTTCGGAGGCTTTTTTTTTCATTTAAACTTCCAGCTGGTAATGCACAGTAAGTATGGGTTCACCACTCACGCACTGGTAGGGCTTTGTATCGCATAGGGCGACTCGCGCAACGTGATCGCCCGCGGTCGTGCGTGAAATCGAACCGATCGGAATTTTGTCAAAATTACCGATATTTTTTTAACTCCACCATTTGATTGTATTGTATAGTGTATTGTTCATTGGGTGACCATTGGAAATAAAATTTTCAAATGCGCGATTTTTCTTTGTCATCGAACCTTCTGTGTATCTTTGATGGCAAACTCGCTTATTTACTTTTAAAAACATTTTTAAAATGCTTAAATTAAAAAAAAAAAAAACAGACACAAGCATAATGAAAGAAAAAACTTGTCGCAAGTAACCGCACTTTTCAGAGAAGCAGTTGTACCCTTACTTAATCCTAGTTTATCGTCAACTATTATACTAATCACGTGGCGTACACGTACCCATGCACAGCATATATATGTATATATATATGGTTATCAGTAGCCCGGGCCATGTCTGAAGATCGCGCTCACGGAAAAACCGATGACATCGTCCGAATAAGCTGTTTACTCCATCCCACGACCTCTATAAATCTATATCAAAGACTACATAGACTACTGAGCTAATATGGGGCCGAGTACCAAAGAGTCATTATGTATTATTATTATATATTATTGCATATTTTTCGCGTCTTACGACTCGCTCGGATTAATGAACGCCAATCTGTGATCGTACACTGACTTTAAATGCTCTGTTTCACATTATTTTGACGCAATACCCGTACAAACTATCTTAATAATAAATAAATGCATCCACCACAATGATGGACCTTTTGTATTATTATTATTTCGTGTCGATCAATTTTCAATCAAATAAACTCAAGTTATTTTTTCCCCATTTAAATACACCGAAACCGCGGCTGAATTAAAACACTTTTACCCTTGATTGCAAGAGTTATTCGCAACGAGCGCAATTACGCTCTAATATGGGTAAAAATAATTAGCATACGAGCGTGTATGTGCATGTGTATTATATTATACGTATGTACAAAGACGTACACGTATACAGATTTTTACCGATTTACGGTACACGAGACCATTCATCTGTGACCGAAATAACTCGACGTATTGATAGCCGCTAACAAACATAGAAGAAGAAGAAGAAAAAAAAAAGAGTAGAGAAATACATAGGTATCGATGACAAATCGTAGTGATTGCGTTTAGTTACTTAGCTTTGAAAAAGAAAAATAACACCACGCGCACGCAGAGACTCTCGGTTACAACCGCAATCGCTTGTAATGGATTATTCGCCGAAGCCTTGAAGTGATGAGCCGACGAGAGCCGTTTCAAGTTTTCGATTAATGCGAAAACTCGTTTCGATCCCGCCTCTCCGACCATCGAATTTTTCCCTCGCGATGCGTACACTCATTCCACGATCGGAGGATCGTTAAAACCAAATACCTCAACAGCTACACATGTACACAATTTTTCCTCTTTACTCTTGGATAAAGTAAAAGACAAAACCATACCATCCTCGTGTACAGTATTGTGTAAAACACTTTGAACAGGTATAATATATACAGATGCGAAATGAGTGTATATCGGGGGGCCCACGTGTTTGTGTAAATTAATAAGTTTCCGGGTGCGTGTCTCCGAACAAAAGACATAACTCTGGGGTTCGAAATATGAAGGCACCCAACATCCACGTGATCCATTGCGCAACTCTCGAGGAAGGACTCCGTTTCGCGCCGAGACTCTCTATATATTAAATTGACGCACGCTCACGTGTGTGCCGGATACAATGTATGAGCAAAAGGAGCCAATTCGACGGAGCGGGTCACCTGCGTTGTCATTTTTTTTTTTTTTTTTTTTTCAAGTTGCGCAATGTTGCGCGAAAAGCGATTATTTGTTGTTTTTCAACAATACAACATTTGATCTGAATGAGCTGACGAGACGGGAATTCGCAATAAAATAACAAAAGTTGCGGGATCTCGTGCTTTTCGTGATACTCGGGGACGATTTTTGTTTAAAATCGGCGATCGGCGTGGTGGATTTTTGTTTCGAAAACAGCCAATATACGTTTATGGGCGATCTTGACTCATCTCTGCCATATTTTTCTCTCTCGATTTGTCCGGCCTCGTGATGAGCGACGACAACTGCATAACACACCGGCGCGCTGCCGTGATTAATCGCATAAGCCGGACAATAAATTGCCGGCCAAGGGGATACCTCTTTCGCGACGATGTCCCGTCGCATCTTCTTTCTTCCGAAATTAAATTTGCACGGCCTCTCGATTGATCATTGCCGATTTTACGAATTACCGTTACCGATTTCCGAACTAAAAGCTCAAGACGCGTGCATGGACAGATGTTGTTCCAGCAGAGACAATAGTACGCATTGTTTCCGCGATGGTTAATTACAACACGGTCGTATACGAGCTATTACTTGGCACGCGGTTAATGTGGGTCGAAACGCGCGGTTGTTTCTCGCTGTCAAACGGCAAAGTAATCGGGGTCGAGAAAGGAGGCAATCGCGTACGAAGAAAATGAGAATTTGTCAAGAGTCCGCGAAATACCGATTTGGAAACCGCAAAAATGCCGATCGCACTCCGTCGCGCACCGTATATATACATCGTTGGTACAACTTCGCGAAAATCGGCAAGTTACCCGTGTACGTGTCATGTATTTTTTTTTTTTTTTTTTGTCACTTGAAACACTGCAGGAGTACGTCGTTTGGTAAACGATTTTTTTCGTTTTGCCCTTACAATTGTCCTACAAGTTTTTCAACCCACATAATATTAAAACTCTCGTCCAAAGAGCCGAGGATTCATCGAGAGGCTTTTGTTTTTCAAGGCAAGCCGCGAGCCTATGTGCTTTTGGACGGCGATGCCGTTAGCTTCGAGTAACCCGGAGTCGTAAGTAGGACAACGACACTCGTCCGGCGAACGTAATTTAAAGTCCAGACACGGTTTTTCATACACGCGCGCGTCGATCGTTTGGAGTTTTTTTTTTGTAGAGAGAGAGAGAGAGAAAAAAAAAAAAAAAAGAAAGAAAGAAAGGAAAAAAATGCCACGTACCGATTCCCTTGGAGGCATCGATGATCGGTAGCAGGAGCAGCAGGAACGTAAGCAGCGGTGGCCGGGCGTCGTCACTTCCTCCGACGCGGTAGTCATCGTCCTCCCGGCGGCGACGTCGCCCTCTCACCGCCATCGCGCCGCGGCTCCTCCGTCCTTACGACGAGCCGCTCCGTCCTGCCTCCTCGTTCTTCTTCCCCTGCTCTTCCTCTTAGCTACGTATATATCTATACGCTGGACACGCGACACTGCCACGCACGAACGCACCAAGCGCTTACCGCTCTCCTCGTTTTTTTTTTTTTTTTTTTTTCTTCTTCTTCCTTCCTTCCTTACTTCCTTTCTCTACCTGGTGTATATCGCCCGCGGCGAGGCAGGTACAGGGCGAAATAGAACCAACTCCGGATGTTCGCACCACCGGGCGAACAACCTTTAAAAATGGCGCTCACCCCGTCGTCGGCCGATTTTTTACCGATCTCCCTTTTTACGCGCCACGACCGGGCAGGTACCTACGACCAGCTGAGGGAGTCGTTGCGTGTATCTCTCCGGCACCCAGTTCTTCTTCCTCTTCTTCTTCCTCCTCGCACGTAACAATTCGTATATTATATCGTAACAACAATAACAACGAAAAACAAAAAAAAAAAAACAAAAAACGAAAAAAAAAAAAAAAAAAAAAAAAAAGGAAAAAGAAGTTGGCGTTCGCGATCGCCGATTCCTCGCGCTTTCAGTCCATGATGGTTCGTATATCCCGACGATCGCTCGCCACCAGCAGCACTATATTATGTAGCCGCGACGCACAGACACACAATTGTAGAAAAGTATAACACACGCGCGAAAATGTATCGGTATGTATCGGTGGGACGGGCTTGTATCACGAGGCTGGTAAACAAACTATATGTATATGTATTTTATGTGGGCACCAAAGTAACAACAACAACAAACAGGTCGTCCTCTTGGAGGAGTTGTGCTCGGCAAGGGTCAGGGGGGGGGGGGTCGCCTGGCTTTTTGAGCACACCTAGCCTCGTTCTTTCTCTCTTTCTTTCAGCACACCCGGTCGCGGTCAACAGGCGACTGGCCGGGCCTCTGAGCCACCACTGGCTGGAGCTGCCGGTCGTGAGGCTCTCCTTTCCTGCCGATATATATACCTTGTACACGGTCCCCGCCGCCCGGCTCTTTCTTTTTCTCTCTCTCTCTCTCTCTAGCTCGCTCTCAACCAACATGGCGACTCCTGCTGCCGGCGACAGGTCCCTCGATGATCGCGTTCCCTCTCTCCACATGCATCCTCCGTATGTGGGTTCTCTCTCTCTCTCTCTCATCTCGATATCTTTTTCTCTCTCCGTAGGTATATACCATACACACCTAATATCTCGGCAACAAGTTGCTGCTATTATAATACACATCGTCTCGCAGCTTCGCTGAGTATTTGCCGCTTGGCTTACCGATCGCATATATACGGGGAGAATTGAATGCGGAGCAGAGCGAAAATTCGTTCCACCATCAGGCACTCTCTTTCTCCGCACTTATATTATATATACTATTCCTCGGTGCACATATATGCACATACCGATCCGAGTTGCCGAGAGTAGAGAGAGAGAGAGAGAGGAGTCACGCTCCTGCGATTTTTGCGATCGCGCGCGTATATTGTACGTACACGGTGACCGCGGTGGTGATGGTTCCACCTTTGCACCTGCCCGGGACACGAATTTGTTATAGCCGGTGCGCGTGTGGGTATAATAATTCCGGGCGCACAGGAAATCGTGGTCGACGGGGGGGATCCGCGTGAACGTCATACCGATCTTCCCATGGCGTTTTAGGTACCGGGGTTTTTCAATTGGAAACAAAAAAACAATTGGGACGGGGGAACGGGGGTTTATACGTATACATTATCGCTTTATCAACGATACACCGCGCTGATTATGTAAAATCGGCAACGAGCGCAATAATTACGTGCCCCCCCCCCCCACCTTTGGTTCGCGTGTAAAAAAAAAAAAAAAAAAAAAAAAAAAAAAAAAAAAAAAAAAAAAAAAAAAA